CTCTGGTATGGTGTTTGTTCTAATGGCTCCTATTTCTTGGTTCTGAGCGTTTCAAAATGAGTACACTCAGAAAGCTGTGTTGTGACCTGCCATCACGTCCAAACGTCCGCACCCATGTACATTGCTATCTTGTGCGGGTTTAACAATCGGTTGTTCGCTGAAGCTATCGAGCCACTATGCAAACCTTGATATCAGTGTAGGGTTGGTGCACTACAAATGAATCACTCCATTTTTTCCTGGCCGTTCTGTATTCAGGCAGTTTTGTAAACTAGAGTCTTCACGTTGTGGTTACTGCAATCCCAAATCCACAGTGCGCATATCTTCCAAATATGATAATTTGTGGCGTATACTGTCTTGAAAAGATCCGGATACTCACTGCTGCCAAACGCACATCCAGGAAATTCTAACGTTGGATGGTTTGTCCACCACAGCTGTGCGTTGGATCAATGTAGGACTTAGAGTATCCTCCACATTGAAAGGAAAGCAACGCCGTGCAAAAGTCCTGACGTCCACTGCGAGATGATACCGACATCGGAGCTCCTGCGCAGTCAAAACACTGGTGCAGAAGGGTATTTCGTTGACTGGAAGCATCATCTTTTTTTGGGCCTAGACGCCCCGTGACGAAAGCTAATCTCTACGCCGCTTTTGGTACAACTTGGAGTCTCCCGACGTGAGGAAGTACTTCGTTGGAAACGTACTTGACGTATTGCGAGACAGTATTGACTCTGGGCCTCCTGCGCCGCAATCGAAACGCTGGTGTAGAGGGGTTCTTGAGTGGGAGACACACTTGAACCTATTTTTTTTCGTTCCCAAAATCCCCTTTACGAAAACATTCCGGAAAATGTGTATTTGATGTCCGCGCCCGGTTGTGTCGTGCCCAAATCATCTCGTGGGAGCACCAATAGTTTCACCCAAGTCGTTGACTCGGCGATTCGATGTGTGCGCAACTTGCCATTGAGGCGACCCCGGCGACATTTTTTTGCGCTGGTCTAGCCATGCCCACCCAGGGGCGCGCATCCGCGCCTGCCCCTGGGCTTCGCATTATGAGGTACTAAAGTTGAAAGTTGAGTCGTAAAGAATTACGTGGACGATTGTCAATGCGACCGTCCGACGGGAGGGCGCAATGAACAGCGTTTGCGCAGTCGAAAGCCTACGTCTGCAAATCAAGTTGACGCAAGCCTCTTTCCACCATTTTTGGGTGGAAGCGCCCTTGGGGAGGACATCCTCCCTTCCCTCATAAATGAGAAGTGAGGAGAGTTTGCAGACTGTTTGGAAGTCCGAACGCTCGAATCCAACCGCGGCCGAGGATCCTGCGCCGTCGAAAGTCCGCGTGAGCGAAATCCACAAAATTGTACCTCCTTTTTTCGTTGCAATGCCTGACATCAGGACGTTGCAACATCCCGCACAAGTAGAATGTTCATAGCCCAGCACGTCAAAGTCCGAACGCGAGTATTTAACTGCGCGCGGTTCAACATTTGCTTCAAAAGGATTTCAAACGGTTGATGCCTGCTATCAGAACGTTCTAGCATCCCACATGGAAAGTTCGTTGGCTTGATAATTTCCAAGTCTGAACGCGAGTATTCAGCTGCGCGCCGTTCAGCGTCCGCTGTACCCCGATCGCCGCAATGCCTTTTTTTGGATGTCGGCATGCGTCGTGCAGGTCTTGGACAGTGGCCCAACCCTCAATCGAGAAATGCAGTCGCAGCACAATGAAATCAAACCCAAAAACCGGTCATTCAGAGAGTCTTCGTTGGCAGGAGAAGGGTGCCCAACCCCCCAAATGCCCTCGTGTCTGGTCAAAACATATCATTTTTTCGTTCACGGGTGAGGAATTGCCAGAACCGGTTTTGAGAAATATAGAAGTCCCTCAAACCATGTTTTGAACCACGCCTGCCATTTGACGAACCGTTGGACCCTCCACTATATCTGTTACGGATGGCGGGAGGCACACTGGCAAGCAAAGGAACTACCAGCAGTGGGAACGTTCGACAATGATCCTTGGTACAAGGGCAGTCGCACATGTTGAGACCCTGCGTTTGCCCCATGGTAAAGCATGGTCAACGCGACACATAGAATAACCTACTCCGAGGGCGAAGATCACAGTTGAATTTTGGGTATTCTCTTCAATAACACCGGCCGATTATTTCGCCATTTGGCGATTGCACGACAGATCATTTGATGGTGGAAGGCCGGGGTGGGAACAGAAAAAAAGCAGCGGGATATAGAAACCTATTGCATCCAATGTCTCTTGGTGCTGTGCATAGGTCTGAATTAGCTGCGCACACTCATACGCGCACAGACTCATACAAACATATGACACCCTGACAAGCTTTTGTTCGGCGTGCGTTGCTTGGACTTATCCAATTTGTAGGAGACCATTCGGTCAATGTAAGACTGAGCCAAAAAATGCTATCCAGAGAGCAGACATTTAGACTCCAGTTGGTTGATCCTTGTTCTGGCGTCAGGGGCATTCCACTCGCCTCAGCATGAAGGCCACCCACCAAGACGATTGAAGCAAAAACGCAAAAGCCCGCACAGATTCCGTATTCTACATTGTCGTCATAAAGATGTGGGATGAATTGGCTGTTCAGGCTCGCTATCGAGCCCACCATGCATCTTCCGGCTGGACAACCGCTCTGCCCTCTTTTTTCCTTGGTCGTATGGGTCCACCCGATTAAATATACCGAAACCCTACCTCGCGGCAGACACGAATACACCATCCTCTGTTGCGCATTGCAAAAGATGCGAATCCGAGGTACAGATGCCTGTTTCTCCAACTTAAGAATCATCTTTTTCGCATAGTTTGATTCGGTGTTAAGTCTGCTGTCCTGCCTTTTCTCGAACGCCAAGAGAGCATTAACGCTGGGTCCGCGGGTACGGTTAACATCAATGTAGGGCTCTTGCGACATGGAGTAATCCTCGTCGAGCAAGAGCACATCGACTGTGCTGCGACTCTTGGGAGGAGGCATTTATGATCGCGGCTCATGCGCAAGTGACAAGCGTATCCATTCCTTCCCGGGCATCCACATTTTTTGACTTTTTCGCTGGAAACGCCCCATCACGACAAACCGGCGCGGATGCGCTTGAATTCAGAGGCCTGTCCCAAATGCGGTATGCCCATGTTCTTGCAAGGATGGGCCAAAGTTGTTGAGCCGCTGCGCAAACCTAAGCAAGACTTTGTTTCGGGAGCATTTTTCCATGCGCGGGTGCATGCGCTTGCATGAGGCCTTAAATGCCCACTAAAGTTCGAGTCACACAGAGTTCCATGCAATGGAAATCATGGCGGTCGAGGTTCTTGCGGAGTCGAAAGGCAAACAGTCCGCCGTGCCTTACTTTGCGGAACGTAGGATGAGGACCAGATGTGAAAGATGGTAAATGCCAAACTTCGCGTCCTTAACGGACGGGGCATATTCGTTTTTTTTTCGGTATTTTCGGCAGGCGGGATTGCGAGCATACACCAAACAAAGCGTTATACTCATATTAAAAAAACCAGCAACAGGAATCCTAACGTTGAAACGAAGCGGCGTAACGAAGCACCATGCTCCATGCCATCCCAACGTCAGACCGCGAGCATTTACTGCTCAGTTCAATGTCTGCTGACATTAGGGTTCGAAATCGCGTTGGCGGGGATGCAGCATGAGAGTGGTCCAGCATCCGTCATAAATGGAAAGCCCATCGCCATGATTGATCTCAAGGCCTGAACGTGAGCATTTAACTTTATCTGCGCGTTCACATATGGCTGAATATGATGGTGCGTCCTTTTTTTTCGATGGCAGAAGGTAGACACTTTAACATCGCGTCTGGAAATGGTGGAAGGACCGCACTCTAGTTATGGTGAATCACAGGGAGTGAATGTACAATGTGATGGGCGAAGATGTTGGGCGCTACGTAAAACTTGGCATCAACACATGGACGGAGGCATTTATTGTGAACGTTGTTCGCGTTTTTTTCGCTGCCCTGGGCGTGCGCTGGTGTGTACCCAAACAAGCTCCATATATTCATTAAAAAAAAAACCAAAACAAAAAAAAGGTACAAACATTGACATGAAGTATCACGCGCGGAGGACACGGCGCCATCCATCCTCAGACGCTTCTCCTTTTTTTGCTGTATTTGTATTGGGCATGCGCGATGCGTACATCCAGTTTGTGTATATTAAGAAAACGAAGAAAGTACCAACTCGAAACGAAACGCGTACACAAAATACACGTACTGACATTCATATATTAAAAAAACAAAATGTACCAAAAAAACAGCACCATTCTCGAAGCAGACAACATTACCTACCCTCAGAGTCTTCACCCCTTCACCTTAGCCTCCACCGGCGGCCCCGCAAACCTCCCCGGGCGCGGGGGGCGGCGGGTGGGGGCGGGTGGGGGGTGTGGCGAGCAGGGAGGGGCTGTGCCCGTCTCTGTGGATTCGGCGAGGGTTGCAGGGGAGCCCAAACAACAAAAAACTTGAAGATTATTTCGGATGCGTGGGGGGATAGTGGTCTTGCAATTCGCGAGTCTGGGTGGGAAGGGAAGGTTCGAGAAGGTGTGGTGGTGGTCAAAAACAATTGCGGTTGATTCTTGCGGTAAAAGAAAAAGTTGGAGAAGGGGTGGTGGTCGCGCCATCGGGCGTTGTTTGGTTCCTGACATTGGAAGAAACCAGCGCTTGTGGTGCAGGCCCCAGTTCGATTCCGTTGCTTGTTTTCGCGTATATTTAACAAAACAAAATGCAGAAAACAAAGATATAGTTTAATCACGAGACGTTTCGTTGCCTAACTTCCTGATTCTTTTTTGTTCGCTGGTCCTGAAACATGCTGCGCTTTACGGATACCGTTGAACACAACCAGATGCCCACGAAGGATCTTTCGATGGGGAGACGGATGCCCATTTTGCTCATTATTTGAAGAAAAAATAGTGGTATAAACGCAGAAAGCCCGTTGTAAAGTCAACAAAAATAGTCGTTGATATGGTCCTCGAAGGAGGGAAAAAACAGAAGTGGGGGTGGTGAACGAGTGCTCCGACCGGGGTTCGAACCCGGGACCTTCGCATTGCATAAACAGGACATGTTTATAAGTACGAGGCAATAATACCACTATGCTACCGGAGCGGGTTTTGAAATGCGGGAATTTTACAAACATTATGAAGGTGAGGAACCGAACTTTTCTGACGAGCGGAAGTAGGGGGAGGCGGCGACATTTCGGGATTCAAGTAGAAGATAGTGAATGGGGGGGTTGTGGTGGAGGGTTTGGTGGAGTGGGACGGAATATGAGGAGTAGGTTGGCGGATTGTTGAGGGCCGGGGGATTTATAATAAATGAAGCTTTCTCTGTACTGTACTTTTTGTAGTGTACTTTTTGCAAGAACCCCGTCAGTTCTTGATGAAGAACAAGAGAACACCCCCATGTCACTTTCGAGCGTTCCCACTCCCCCCTGCTCACTATTGAACCTGAAACCTCCGTCCCGCGCAAAAGCTAACCTAGCCTGCCCCAAACAAAAACATGAAACACCCCTATTTCGTTTCCCTCCTCTCCTTCCTCCTCGCACTCACAGTTTCATCCGCGACAGTGTGCCAGGACGGGATATGCCAGTTACGTAAAATACCCTATACCGCCGGCACTTGTAGTATAGCCTCCTCAGACCTTTTTCTTGTAGCATAACGACGCGGAACAGAGTTATCGTACAGCACCGGGCGAAAGTTGCGGAGATTGTTGCTAACCAGACCAAGAGAAGCAAAAGGTGGTGGTGGGGGAGGAGGGCGATTGTGGAGGCGGGTGTGAGGGCTAGTAGTGGGAAGGAGTTGTTTTCGGTAAGTTAGGGCGTAAAGGGGTGCGGGAGCTGGTTTCGGAGGGCCTGATGTGACGTTTTTGTGTGGTGTGTATTAATATTTGAAGTACTTCTCGTTCTAAACCGCCCTGTGTTTTAGTATGTTGGGGAGGTGGTGGTTGGGACGCCGGGGCAGACGTTCAAGTGAGTGTTTTTTGTTTTTGTGAGGGTGGTGGGTACCCGCATATAGAGTCGCAACCAACGTGTGTCGCAGCGTACTATTCGACACAGGCTCCTACCAACTCTGGATCCAATCCTCCGGCATCATCGGCGCCAGTAGCCCCGGCCCGAAATACAACTGCTCGGCAAGCACCACCTGCCGTCTCACATCCGAGACCGCACCGTCGATCGAGTACGTAGACGGCACGTCCATCTCTGGCGTATTCGTCCGCGACAGTGTATCAATCGCAAACCTCACCGTCCCGAATTTGAAATTCGAGCAAGCGACGACGCAAGTGTCGCCACCTGATAATACCACCGCGTTGGATGGTGTGATGGGGTTCTCGTTTCTTAATTCGGGTGTGTGGGAGGAGTACTGGGACCAGGTTGTGAAACGCAATATGGTGGATTCGCAGGTGTTTGGGTACTTTATTGATGAGACGGATGCGGTTGGGGGAATGACGTTGGGTGGGGTGGATGCGAGTCGGTTTGCGGGGAAGGTAGAGTGGTTTCCGGTTGTGCCTGTGCGGAGCGGGGTGTTGGGGTTGGGGCAGAAGGTGTATGCGGTGTGGCAGGGGAAGATGGATAGGATGGATGTGAATGGACGGGCGGTGAGTTTGGGGTCGGCGGATGTCAAGTGAGTTTTTGCGGTGTGATTGGGTGCTGGGCGCGCAGTCATCATCCACCCGCGTTGTTCAAACCTTTGTATGTGCATCCAGCGTCGTGTTTGATACCGGCACATCCCTCGCGATCCTCCCACCCACGATCGCCAGCAACCTCAACGCCCGCCTCGGTCTCCCGCTCATCACCAACCCCGGCGAAGAACCGGCGCTCTACGCCACCGTGTGCCCGAACGGCAACCAAACCCCTACCTCCCTCCCGGACGTGATCATGACATTCGGCGGGCACAAATTCACCGTCACCCCTCACGAGTACATTTTCCAGTTACCCGCGACGAACGGGATGATTGCGTGCGTGAGCGGGTTCGCGGGGCAGGATATATCCGGTGCGGGGGGCACCACTGGGAATCTTCCGAATGCGATATTTGGGAATGTGTTTTTGAGACGGTTTTACACTGTTTATGATTGGGGGAATAAGAATATTGGGTTGGCGTATGCGGATCGGAGGGTTGGGTTGCAGCCTAATCTGACGGTGGCGGATACGGGGACTGGACAGGCGCCGGCGGAGATTTCGGGTGCGGTTGGAGTGGGGAACAAAGAGAGAGAGTTGGCTGTCGTGGTTGCGGTTGTGACGGCCTTGCTGGGGTTGATGTCTGGTGTTAGTTTGATGAGGTGTGGGAGTTAAGGGTTAGGGAGTGGTGGAGGCATGTTGTAAATTTCTTTTTTTGGTGTGGTCTCTCTGTCTGCAAATATTGTATGTATGATTTTTTGCTACCTAATCCAATTGTCACTGAAACGTGCTTCACGTATGTATGTAGCGCAGCAAGATTATAAGCATAATTATAATGTGATGACCGCCTCCGCGAAGGCTTAAGGTTCGATAACGATAAATGGGCCTTCTTTTTACAAAGGACCACCACCTACGACCAGAATGCATCACTGCTATTCATATAAATGGCCACTGTCTGGTTCTTTCAGTACGTACCCCACACAGCAACAAAAAGCACTGGGGCATTTTGCGCAGTCTGTTCTTGATTATGTGGATACCCAAATCGATTCCAAGCAGCACAAGCAGCACAAGCTTTTCGGCTTTTCGGGCCGCCGTTTGTGTGACGCACTGAGCAGTGGAGGAGTGTGAAATTTTTCCAATCATGCGCGGAAAACACTCGATTGACGGATTGGATTGGATTGGATTTGGCTGTGTGTGTCCGCAGTGTGTTCCTCCTTTCAATTTGCGACAAGCTTTCTTCTTCCAAAAGGACGACGCTTGGCCTGCCCCTTCTTTTTTTCCATCAGACAACTGGAAGCAGCAGCTCAGTGCAGCGTGGGACGCTCAGACATTCTGTCGATCCTGTCAGCCGGACTTTGGTCGTCTGTGTCGTGTCTGTCTCTTGGTGCTTTGCTTTGAAAAAAAAGGCCCCTGGTCCCTTTTTCCTTGGTGCTTAGTCCTGTCTGCAACTGGTTGTTGGGCTGACGGAGACCGCTCTATCTATCTACGGAAACAGCTCCTGTAGATATTGAAAAACCAGGTGCGTCAGGCTGCGTCGTCGTGTTGAGGCGTCGGTCCGTGCGTGGGAAGCAGTGGAAGCAGGAAACAAGGCGCCCATGACGCAGCGGGCTGGAAGGGAGGGGCCAACGTATAAGTAGCACCCCTCCGTTCATTGTTTCTTGTCGTCCCATGCGCCGTGCACTGGCTGACTGGCTAGGTCTGACATTAACCAACTCCTTCTCTAACATCATCACCTTTATATCATGGTCATTCCTTACGGCAGGCCTGCGCAATCTGGCGGTCAGTCACTTTGCCCAGTAAAGTTCCCACCTCCCTGGACTCTTCCCGTCCAGGTAACCTCCTCCACGAATCTCGCCCAAGATTTCGCAGCCCACAATGCTCGGTGCGCCTAGTTTTTGGTCCAACTCGTCAGCCACTGCTGCTGCGTTTCGCCAAACGTCTCCACATTTTTTTGATTGGATCATGGCCCGCTCCGATGAAAAGTTGGCTCGTATGAACGTCTTGGGAAGCAAGGCAAAGTCTGAGGGATACCGCATGAACGTTCGCTTGATCCGCCAGCGTGCAATGTACAGCAGAATGTCGTTTGACTGCGAACAAAGCAATAATTTCCATACTTTTGGCGGTCATTTCAATTGGGGTGAGGCACTCGTTCCTCGCATCAGAATTGTAACTTCCAATCGGCCCGGAATTTTGAAACGAACGTTCAATTTCTCCAGGGACCACCGCATTTGACAGACAAACTCACCATCAGGACAATTCCCAGTCTGTGAATTACGAAGAGTTCCAGCAAATTCAACACAATTTTGAGCAAGTCTGCGCCGAAAACGACGCTCATTCCCACGCACACTCACACTCTTCTCCCTTTGACTCTTTCCTGGATTTCGCCTACCCACCACATCATCACGACACTGACATGAACATTCACGATGCCGCGTTTACCACAAATGATACCCCGCACTCTCGTTTACCCGATGGATCACTCACCTTCATTCCCGACCACCACGCTGAAAATCCTCACCACACTACCTTCAATTCAACTCTCGCTTGTCATTTACCACCTTCGCCACCTCCCCGATTCCGGGCGGCGCCGGGGGGGGGGGGGGGG